ACGGAGTGCAGCCCCCCCCCCCCCCCATGCAGTTCTGAGCATCCACTGACAGTAGGAACAACATTTCAGGGAAAGTGGGCTATAGCAGGAGAAGTGGGGGCATTGTAAATAGTTGTCGCCTCTTAAGAAGATGTAAGTACCTCTAAGTCTTTGCAACCGTGTGGTTGGATATAAGCCCTCTGTGACTGATAACTTGAACCTTTGCAACTGTGTACTCCCAACCTTATATAGCTTTAATGTTACGTGAACTTTTTTGTATGCCTCCTTGAAGGCTACGCATTTTTAGAATGCTGAAGGCTTCTGATTGTCCATATGCATATATTTATTTAGGAGAACATACTGTAGATTTTGCTTTGAGATACATAATAAATGTTGCCTCTTGCTTTTGCAAGTGGTGTGGATTTAGGTAATGATTGTATTTGCAGGTGACTTTGGTGTGGTAAAGGCTCCTCTTATAGACCAAGTTTATATGTTGGAAGGCATGCGGACCACATTAGGCCTTTTAATATGAAGGCGATTGGAGGAGGAGGAGAGGAGATGAGGAGATTAAATTTATACCCCGCCCTTCACTCGGAGTCTCAGAGCGGCTTACAAACTCCTTTCCCTTTCCCTCCCCACAACAGACACCCTGTGAGGTGAGTGGGGCTGAGAGAGCTCTGACAGAAACTGCTCTTTTTCAAGGACAGCTGTGCCAGAGCTTGTGACTGACCCAAGGTCATATCAGGAGGTGCAAGTGGAGGAGTGGGGAATCAAACCCGGTTCTCCCAGATTAGAGTCCGCACACTTAACCACTACACCAAACTGGCTCATTGCATTGGATGATGAGTGTATGGGTACATTGCCACATGGAGGGCAGCATGGGACTCTGTGGACCAGATGGAAAGCTCTGGCAGGCTAGCTGTGGCCTATTGGCCTCCAGTGGCTAGTTCCTGCTGGAGAGGAGCAAAATTTATCCCATCCACTTTCCCCCCCCCAAACAAAAATCTACTGCCGGGACCCCAACCTTTTTGAACCTGAGGGCACCTTGGTGCCAAAGTGACACTTCTGAAAATCTGCACAGCCAATTGGCCACTGGAAATTCAATCAGGAGCCTTGCAGCAAAAGCCCCACCAGGCTCCACCAACTTTCTAAAAACACTTGTTGGGTGCCAAGAAAAATGCCAGTGGGTGGCATGGTGCCCATGGACACTACATTGGAGACCCCGCTCTCCTGCAAAGACATCAGGTACCCGATGACATGTTTTTCCTGTTGGCCGCTGTACATAGCAGGAGGCTTATTGAGGATCTAGAATTTAATGGTCTTTTTTTATATCACTGCCTGTATTTTAGTTGCATTGTATTATGTCTCTTGGTGATTCAGTCAGTTGTACTTCGTGGAAATGTCACGCGGGGTTGATTGATTTTAATTTGTGAGCTGCCCAGAGGGCTCTCTTAAGTTTGGTTGGTGAGATATAAATCTCATAAACAAATGTTGGTTCGTCGGTAGCCATTTTCTTTACTGTCTGTTGGTGAACTTTTGATGCCTTAGGAAGTAAAGCAGCAAAACAGTCTCCTCAGCAGACAATCTGGTCAACAGTCACAAGAAATCTGCCAGTTCAAAGAAGACCTTCATACGGCCAAACAACTTCTGCAGCAAAATCAGAGTCTTGGTGAAGAAATGAAAAGTTAGTGTATTTTTTTTATGTTTCATTGCCATTATATCTCTCGTTTCAGCATCAGGTATCTGAGTAGGCAGATTTGACTTATCTACGGGGTGAAACTTTGACTTGATTATTGTCAACCACCTGTTATTCAAATAGCTGATGTAAGCCGCAAATGGAAGAGGAGCAGTTTTACTTTTCCCTGTCATTGCTGGAGCACCCGCCCTGCAGTTTGTTTTGTTTACAAAGCTCTCTCAACCCTCAGGGAAGGGTTTCAGGAACAACTGCAGGCTGCTTGGGAAAGAGAGATGCTGAAAAAATCTGCTGTCCCAGCATCTTTCATGAAGTCTTCTGTGGATCCAACCAATTCCCTAAAAACTAATTTTTTTCTATTTTATGTCTTCTTAGTTCTGCCCTGCTTTTTCTAAGTTCATTTCTTGCAGAGCTTGTTTTAAAGTTGACTGGATCTATGCGGGGGGGTGGGGGGTGGATTAGATGTACTGGAACCAGCAATGCTGCTGTTTCATCTGCTGCTTTGACACCGCCTCCAAATTGAAAGTGCAGGCACTATTGGAATATCCTGAGATACTGAGATTATTTTGATATGTTAAGGTGGTTATTTTGGAAATTAGTTAGGCAGAAAATAAACTAGCCTAGCTATGTTCCCCAGCAACATCCAGCTAAAGGTACTTACTTTTATTAAATGAAACATGTGTTTTTTTATCACTTTACTTTCAGGTCAAAAGTGGTCTTTGGAAAGAGAGTTGCAAGTTCTTAAAGACAAATTGAACAATCAGGACGAGTCTCTAGAGAAGATGCAGCGAGCTGTTTTTGACCTGGAAAAACAACGAGATTCTCTCCAGCAGCTCCTGCAACATAAAGAAAACACCATTGAAAAACTCAGCATAAAACTGAAAGATCTAGAAAGTCTGGAGAGCATCCTTGCTGAATGTGAAAGTCTTAAAAAAGAGGTTGAGATTCTTTCCCTGTGGAAAACAGAAAATGAACAACTTCTAGACCAGTTTCGTTTAGAAAAAGAAGGGCTGATGAGCAAAATGTACAGTTTAGAAAATGCTTTAATGATGGAACAGATTAAAAGTAATGACAGAGTAACCGTTGTAGAAGCTGAAAATGAACACCTAATCACGGAGATGAAAAAGCTCAGATGTGTGGCCGAAGAAAAAAGCACTGAGCTAGAGGCACAAATAATAGCTTACTCTGAGCTCCAGCAAAAAACCATCACTTCTGAAGAAAAATATCAGAAAGAGAGAGAAAACAATTCCCTGAAACTAGCTGAGTTGACCAAACAGGTGAATATCCTGCAACAAATGCTACAGTCGGCAGCAAATGAAGCATTAGAAAAGGAAAAATGTATTTCCTCACTTGAAACCTCATTGGCTTCCCACACGCAGTTAAACGCTTCCTTTCAAAAGCAATTTGAAGAATTAATACAAGTCAGAGATGAAATGGAAAGGAAATTGGCTGAAGCGGAGCTGAAGCATGAAGGCTTTGTGAGGGAATCTGAAGAGCATATCAGTAAGTTACGAGCGGCTCTTTCTGAAAAAGAGGGCTTGGTCGCCAAAGCTTCAGCTGCCCTTGAAGAGAAAGACAAGCAGTTGCAATTTTTGATCAAAGAGTCTAAAAGACAAGAAACAGAGATTCAAGATTTAAAGGTCAGCAATGAGATGCTTGAGGATTCAGTACAGCAGCTAAAAGTTATTCCTCGAACAGCAAGCTACCAGGAGCCAGATTTATCTGCTGCAGCATCATTAAGTGAAAAAGAAACTGAAGGTCTTAAGGACAAAAACGTCTTCATTTCAAGCGCTATTGATACTTCAGAACAGAAACATGTAAACTTAATGGGAATAAATCTGCAGTTTTCCAATAATTCGAAAGACCAAGATGAAAACCTCTCAGAGCTGTCAGAAAGGCATAGAGAGAAGAGCACATTATTCTTACAAGCGAAAGAAGGATTGGAAAGTATAGAGAGAAGAGCACATTCTTACAAGCGAAAGAAGGATTGGAAAGGAAATACACATTGCTGGAAGCAAACAACAACAACTTAGAATGCTCTTTAAGGGCACACGCTTGTCACTTTGAAGTAGAAAAGGCTGAATTTGAATACCGAGAGAAACAGCTCATGAACGAACATGAGAAACTTCAATGTCAGCTCTTGTCCTTGGAGGAAAAAAACAAAATTTTGCTGAGGCAGCTTGAAAAAATGCAGGTGGTTCTTGAAGAGGCTGAGGTTGTTCCTGACCTAAATTTTCTGTCACCTGAGCCTGATAGTTTAGAATCAAAAAGTTCAAGACAGAATACAATGCACCAACATTATAATACCTTGCTGCAAGAGAATAAGCAATTGATCGAGGAGATGAAAATAAGGAACAAACACGCAAGAGGTGGCCCTTCTTTAAATAAGGTTTCATTGGAACAGCTGAGAATATCTGTGAAAGAAAAAGAAGATGAACTTGATAAATATCAAGTTAAGCTTGAGCTACTTCAGATGGACCTTGAGGATAAAGAAGTCTCTGTAGAAAACTATGCTGACCAGGTAAAGCAACTGGAGACTGCGCTGAGAACAATGGAAACAAAAATTGAGGAAAATGAAAGGGAAAAAGAGGGGCTAAAGCAAGAAATCCAAACCCTAAAAGAACTGGGAAATTTCTCTTTAGAGATTGCACAGAGGGATGGGAATGGCCAATCAACAGCTGTTTTCAATGCCGTTACCAAGGACAACTTTAACCAGCAAATAGATGCCAAGTGTTCGTCAGTTCCTCATGATACAATGCCCAGCCAAAATGATTATGTCCAATTAGTATCCTCCCTTCACATGACAATGAGCAAGCTAAATGAGTTGGAGAAAATGTGTGAACACCTGCAAACTGAAAAGTCAACATTAGCATCACAGCTGAAGGACTCACAATTGGAATGTGTCATAGGCACAGACACTGTGGTTGAAGAACTCATGAGCAAAATTAACATGGTAAAAGGAGAGCATGCTGCTTTCTCTGATGGATTGGACCAGAGTGAAATGGAAGCACAGTCTGATTGTGAGAAAATGAACTTTGTGGATTTGGAATGTTGCACTGAACTCAACTATGAAGATTTTAAATTAACTAATGAAGCAATTAAAGCACACGTTGATGGCGTAAAGGAAAAAATATTGTCAATGAAAAATCAGTACGAATGCTTGCATGAGCAGAATATGAATATGGCTTCCAAATTATCAGAGTTGCAGGGCAGTATTGAAATGCTCAAGAAAGAAAACACTGCACTCTCAACAAGTCTCAACCAAGCTGATACCATTTCATTCATAACACAGGTGACTCCTAGCCATATTGATAAGGAGTTTTTGTTGGATGGGACACTTTGCCTATGTTCTTTATGTCAGAGTAGTACGGCAAGTCTCACAGAATCTAACGTTGACAGTGATCATTATAGACCTCCAAATGCAATAACCAAACACAACAGCAATAACAAACAAAGTGACCTGGAAAGTACCCCTGACCATCACCGTTCCATTACAGAGCTGCGTGATGGTGACGTGTTGGTCCACATCATCAAGCAGGGGCATGCCGCGACTGAAAAGTCCAGTCCAAAAAATAAAATTGAACATCTCATGCTATGTGAGGCCTACAACAAGTCCTTCAGGAGGCTCGAAGAATCTTTTGAGGCCCGTAAAAATCTGGAGGATGAAGAGATACAGAAGATTCAGCAGCTGCTCCTTTCAGCCAGGGAGGAAGTGGATTGCCTCAGACAGCAAAATGTATTGGACAGTGAACAGTGGCAGCAAAAGCTGCATCATGTGATCCTGGAGGTGGTGTCTAAACTGCCAGCTAAGCAGAATGACTTTGAGCTCTTGCCTCAAGTATTGGAAGAACCAAGGCGCCAGTCTCAAGACCTGAATTCCAGTTCTCAGCCACTGCTTTGTGGTGGCACCGAACATGTAAGTATGTCAGTTAACTTTATACCGTGTGAACTTATGGTTGAAAGGGCCTCTAGATGCATGGGGTATACTGGGGGCATGGCAATGAAAGCAGTTTAGTAGCAGAAAAAATGCTGCTTACAAGAAAGGCACACAGAGTTCTACATGCCATGTGATCCTTTGGAATGGGGCCATGTGATTTTCAAAAGGTACTTCATTTATGCTTTGGCTTGAAACTAGTTTGTCAGAACCGAGAGATGAGCCTCTACTTAATAAAACATTAGCTGAAGGGATAATAAATACTAAATTTTTGAAAAGATTACTTTGACTGCCTTGATGGAATTAAGGTACAGAGTAGTGTTTGTATCTGAATGAACATCAACAATTACTTGTTAGCTTAAGCTCAAAAATGTAAGGTTCATATTCTAAAGTCTGAGTTTATGGCCGTTAATCTAATTAAATTCAATTCTTCTCTAGCTCCAGCCAAAGCTTATATTGTTTGATCAGACACAAACGGAGCCACTTCTGACAGCAAAAGAGTCACTATCTGTGTGAAGTATGCAAAGATTAATAAATACTAGCTTTTGAATTCTAGGTTCTTCCATGTATTAAATCTACCAAAAGCCATTTGTAAAATTTGTATATGGATAGCTGCTGTGGGCAGATTCATGCATTATGGAATGCCTGGGAGTTTGTGTAACAGCTTGCCTACCCAAGTGCTTACTTGCGTGAGCTGTTAACATAGGAGATGCAGCAGAAACATTTTAAGAATACAGATACCTGCATCCCCAGCACACCCTGCAGAGAATATTATCTCCAGGCAATCATTAGGAAAGGGCATGTTAGAATATTATATTCTGACTGTGCAGTCCTGTAAAGAGTTGCTCCAATTTAGACCCTTTGAAATAAATGCACTTAGACTAGAGTAGCTCTGCATAGGATTATACTCTTAGACTTTTAAAACATGATAGTTTGATACCTGGTTTATTATGTAAAGTAGACTGGATTAAATGGTTGAAGTTTTTAACTACTTTTTTTGAGCTGGTGACTCTTTCCATTTTAACCACGTGTGTGTGTGTGTGTGTGTGTGTGTGTGTGTGTGTGTGGTAGCTAACCTAACATAACAATCATAACAGTACCACTTATATTTTCTAGATAGAACATATCAACCAATTCACACTGTAGCTTCAGTCCAACTCAACTAATATTATAAGTTTCTGCTGAAAGTTCTAACAATTTATAATGTTAAGTAACATAAGAATGAGTCATATTTTAATTGATTTTTAGCAAGTTTAGTTGCCTGCTGAACAAACAAACGATCCCTTGAGCCAAGTGGAAACGTATGACTTGACCAGTGAAAGTGTGACATTTGAAGCTGTGCATGGTGTAGCAAAGGAAAGAAAGGATGAAGCAAACAGAATGGAAGGCAAGAGGCCTGATTGTGAAGTAGTCTTAGGTGTCGGATCTACAGAAGGCTGCTTTGAGGCCTCAGTTAGAGAATCCAGAAGGGTGTCAGATGAATCCACAAGCCCTTCACAGAGTCCTGCTGTGATACTTCCTTATCGTAACAGCAGAAATACAGTTCCTGCAACCATCCATGAAAATGACAAGTTTAATGAAAGATCTCCACTGCAGATAAATGATACTTGTACTCTGAAGTCTAAGCTGTCCCATGGTATGGCTGAAAGCAATAAGGCCTTTGATACTCTGGTAATGGAAGTCCAAAATTTAAACTCAAGAGTGGATGCACGGGATAAAGAGCTGGCTGTGAAGAGAGCTGCTTGTGAAGAGCTGGAGAAAACAGTTACAGAGCTTGAAAAAGAAAAGCGAGACTTAAGCGAGACCCTTAAATCTGTTACTTTTGATCATCAACAGTTATCTTATAACTTTTTGAGTATGGAAATAGAACTTAACAAGGTAAAATCTGATCTGGAAATATACAAGGTTAGGCTGTCTGATACAAGAGAGACTCTAGAAGACTTAGAGGTGACCAAATCAGACTGGAACGAGAAGCTTCTTGAAGCTGAAAATGAGCTGAGGAGGATAAAGGCGGAGAGAGAGAACATTGAGAGTCATGCCCTATCTATGGAGGCAGATATTGAAGAGCTTCAGTCAAAGAAAGAGCAGTTAAAAAAAGAAAATGAAAATAAACTGAAAACCATTTTTGGCCTTCAGGAACAGCTCCATATAATCACAGCTGAAAGAAACCAATTTAGTCAAGATCTGAGTGCTTTGTCGAAGGATAAAGAAGAACTGAACCACGTGTGCCAAAAGTTGCAGGGCAGAATAAAAGATCTCGAGTCAAGTCAAATGGATTCTACTGAATTTATCAGAGTATTGGAAAGTGAAGCGAAGGCCCACACAAAATTGCTTCAAACTGCAAAAGATGATATTGCTCAGTTATCAGCAGAAAAGGATTGCCTGATGCTGCAGTTACAGAATTTTGAAAAGGTTGCAAGCGATCTTATGTTAGAAAAAGAGACTGCCCAAAGCCAGATAGAGCACCTCAGTGAAGAAAAAGAAGCAATCCTTAGGGAATATGAAACTTTACAAGCCCATTTGAATGACTCTGAAACAGAAATCTCCAAGATCTCCAAGTCTTTGGAAGGCTCACTTATAGAAAAAGGTGAACTGTCGGCTAGACTAAATTCTGCACAAGAAGAAGTGGATCAGCTGCGACATGGCATTGAGAAGCTCAAAATCAAAATAGAATCTGATGAAAAGAAAAGATGTCGCCTTGTTGAAAAACTGAAAGAGAATGCACGGAAAGCTGACTCTCTTGTAGACAAAATCGAAACTCTTGAAAGGGAATTGCAGCTGTCAGAAGAGAATTTGGAAGATGCGATTCTTCAGGCAGAGACAGCCAAGGAAGAGAAGGAAATAGCAGACACAGAGCTGGAAAAGATGCATGCGAATCTTGGGGAGCTAGAAGCTGAAATGAATTTCTTAAAGTCTGAGAAAGAACAGCTAAAGAGAGAACTGGAAGAAGAGCAGGAAAGGGCATCTCATTTGGAACGTGGTAATTCTATGCTTGTGAAAGAATTGAAAGAAAAAGTACAAATGAAAAGCGAATATGAAAATGCACTGATGTCCATACAGTCTGAGCTCAAACAGGCCAGAGAAGAAACGGAAGTTTCTCAGAGCAAGCAAGAAATGTATAAGGCAAAAGAACAGGATCTGATGAATGAAATAACTTCCTTCAAACGTGAGAACACGCAGTTGGCTTATCACCTGCAGCAAGCAAAATGCAAACATTCTGAAGCAGAGAAATTGATGGGAGCCCTTGTTCAAGAACTCCAAGACATCAGACGACAGCTGGCTGAAAATGATTCCTTCCTTGAGCAGCTGCCAGGAAATGAAGCTTTGCAACTTCCCCTTGATGATCCACAAGCCTCTTGCGAGGATCCTGAGGAGGAGCAGGGAAGCACAGCATCTGAAACGGTAATGTTGTACAGAATGGGTAGAATATTTTGGAGGTTAACAGCGCTGTATGAAATTGACAGGTGTGTGTGTGGGGGGGTAATTCTGAGGGAAATTTAGAAATTAGAATAAACATATGGACTGTAGAGATGAAATTTGTTACATTTTGACTGTGTACAAGGCGTACAAGTCTAAAACAATTGGTGACATAGTTCAAAACCTTTCCAGTATATATAGAATATATATATAAAATATTACAAAAATTGTTGGAATAGTGAAATAGGGAATAGTAGAAATAGTTAAAAAAAATTGCTTTTACTGTCATCACTTATATACCAGGACATCTTTACTAGTGTCTATTAGAACCTTATTCATTACCCAGTTTCTGTGACAAATGCACAGTACAAAACAGAAATATCTATGGAACGCAGAATGGAAAGCAGACTCTTAGGAAGCTGGGGCCTACTGGGGGCAAATGTATGGAAGCATTTTTCTGGAATATATGAGATGCTTAACAGACCCCTAGTAAGAGTTATGGTTGGCTCTGGTTTGGGGCTGCATGAAGGGCAGAAAGAATGCTGGAACTGGATTCAGATTGGTTTTGGGGCACCTGGTCAGCAGAAAGCAGGCTGGAGGCCAAAATGATTCCCACAGTTCAGGTATTAGTTCCTTTGTGCTTCATTTTGTAATGCTGAAAAGCCAAAACCAAGTGGTACTACATGTGAGTTTTAGGTTGAGTATTTTTTCCTCCGGTTATGGCCGATAATAGTGTCTTCACTGACTAAACATTTGTATTGTAAATTTTAATTCAATTTATTCATAAATATTTTCATAAATGGACAGTTTATGGGACTAAATAACTTTCTTTCTGTAAAGTCAATGTGATCTACCTATAACAGTAAAAATCAAATCAATAAAAAGTGGAGATAGTGCTTAAAAAGCACTGTAGGAAATAAAAGAAAGCAACTAGGGAACGTGCAAAGACTTGCAGGAGGGTACCTTGTTTTTCTCTCCCCCAACATCTTCCCCATCTCCCAAGCTCCGTAGGAGATGGCAACCAAGCACAACGCCTCCTCTTATAACTTTTACTGACAGAAGGCTGTGTGGTAGCCTAGCAATGACCACTAAAGGCATCTTTTCTTAAAGGTACAGGTGCAGCTTCTATTAGAAGGGCTAATTCCCAATGTAGTTTTTAAAGATTTCCTATTTTTCTGCAAACTGGAGCATTTTTCAGGTCTGTGGAAAGATCTGTCTTGTCTGTTCCCTGCTTAAAGCATTGGATTTAAATATCCACAATTCTGACCATGTTGAGAATTAGATATATTGATGATGAACAATATATTGATGAAGAACAATGGAACCAGTGTGGTGTCTCACTAGGACTGGAGTCTCCACTTAGCCATGGAGTTCATAGTGTGACCTTGAACCTATATTTTTTCAGTGCTGTTTACCTCACGGAGAGTTGGATCCAGACTAATGTTTCTATGGGGACAAGGATTTCTTCCCCCGCCCCCGTGGCAGTCTGAAATTTTTTCCTAAAATCCCGTGGGGGGATTCCCCTCTCTTACAAGAACAAGATTTCAGGGGGTGTTCTGGGCTCCCACGGGGGGGGGGGCAGGAAAATTGTGATCTGTGGGTGGAAATCCTTTTGTCCCTGGAACCCTGTCTAGGCCAGGGTTGTCAGTATGATAAGGAGAGCCATGTATGTCACCCTGAGCTACTTGGAGGAAGGGTGAGTAAACATAGAACACATAGAATGACAGATTGAAGAAGCAGATATCTGTCACCACGTTAGTTTCATTCAGGCCCATAGCTAGGAATTTCTCCGGGGGGGGGGTGCTGGGTGTGTGGGAGGGCTCCTAATTGCTAATTTAATTAAATTAAGGCAGCTGTGGAGGGAGGGGGCGGCCTCACCAGGTCTTCCTGCTTCTGCAGCCAGCTTCTCAAAGCTCCTCTCCCTCCTTTCCTCCTTGGAAAGCTTTGAAAGGAAGCATCAGGAAGAGCCAACGAGGTCACACACCTCCTCCACTGCCCTGGCTCCCCTTTGGAGCATCAGCAGGCACCTGCCCACACTCGCCTTGCCCAGCACAACTGCTGCGGGAGCCTCAGTAGCGGCCACAAGCCAGGCAACCTTCCTGTCTTTTCCAGCCACCGCATCAGCCCACGCTGGTGTGTGTGTGTGTTGTGATAGGGGGCGTCTCTGATGCGATAGGGGGCACTGCCTGCTGTGCCCCCCCCCCCGTTGGTTACAACCCTGGTTTCATTTATAATGTTTTATACTTCACTCTATTAACTCTTAAAGACAAAAGCAGGTGAAATAAAGATAAGTTAAATATATAAGTAACAGAAATCTTAAATATTCCAAAATATATTATTGATGGATTCTTCCAGAGAATATTGTGTTACTCAAAATATTTGGAAGTTCTTATTTGCAATAGTTATTGCAAGGAAAGATGGCACTGTAATGGAATCTTCTAAAAATCAGGTACCGTTGAGGTTTCTCTATGTCTTCTGTGAGAGTCCTTGGATAATGATTTCTAAATGTTTTTGAAGTGACAGGGTCCAGAATGAATTCTTCAGACAATTGCTGCTTTCACTCAATTGCTGTAGTACTAGGTACTACAGCTGCTAGTGCTCATCTTGACTGCTCACCCTTCAGCCAGGCTGCCTGAAAGTACTGAGGTTCAAGCCTCTTCCTGCCACTTCTTTGGTAACACTGCAGGCAGAAGTAGGCCTGTTGATTGAGATAAAATTTCTCCTCTGCACAGAGGACTGGTTCGAAAACCATTCTTATATGTGAACTGTGCTTCTTGTATTCTTCCAGTGCTTTCCAAAGATGCAGCTTCAGAAGAACTAACTGATCCAACACGTGCATGCACAAATGGTCTGCACTCTACACTATAGCAAGGACCCTGCAGCTCAACAATGGGAAATTAAAGTGGGACAGCCCTTCAGTCCTGTTGTAGCTGCTATTGCAAGTTGCTCTGCTGTGTAAGCTTGTGTGTACAGGGGGCCACTCAAAAACCAGGAGTTATGCCATCCATCTCATTTTGTATTTGATTGTGCGAGACGTTTTTTGCTGCAGTAATAACATGAACGCTTTTTATTTTGCAGGCAGGCTATCATAGGCTAATAGAGCAGCTCAACATTGGAAAAAATGTTCTCTGTCCTAAAGTTCGACAATGGATGAGATACCTTAGAGAGTTAAAGCAGGAAAGAGAACAAATGGTGAAGCAGATGCATGAACTCAAGGTTCAGCTGAACAGGCCAGATACAAGTATGTGTGGTTTTTGTTTTGTTTTTAGAAGAAAACAACTATCCTCTACAGATGTTCAGTCAGACTGAGATCTACATATGGAGCGAGGAGCTTGCATGTGTTCCAGCCATGTGGAAATAGAGTCTCTGAATGCATGACCTAAGCCAGTGCACAAGGGCAGATATCAGCTTAAACATGTGGAAGTATCGAATAGTGTAGGAGTAGAGCATGTATTTATTTAGCTTTGCACAGTCCTGACTCTTCACCCTCCCCACATGCATACATCTTGCCCCAACCGAATATCTGTATGTGGCTGCTTCTGTTGCTTGTCATGTGTAAACGCTGGCTCTTTGATCCATATTATGTTAAGGTGTAGCATCCTCTCCACTGTTAAATATATTGTCGTGATTATTGCAGCATTCACAGTTTTGTCCCTATGTATCTTCTTCTTTAAGATATTTTCTCCCATAGAAGATGGTTGTATCTATCATTGTTAAAACTTTATGATTTAACGTTTATAGCTCCTTTTGGATACTGGGGAAATTAATTTCTGGCCATTTGTAATTGCTATTAATCATCAGACCATTACAGTATAAATTTACCATAATTGCCCAAACCTTGGCTAACCTGTTTTAGTGGGGGACCTACAGAAATAACTGGAGGGTCACTCATTTTACCTTTCCCAGTGCCTGCATAAATTCTAGGTGGAATTCAGATCAGAGACTCCACATTGGGTATAACTTGAACTAGAAATACTCTTTGTGGAGAACCCTCTTTCAGTTTAGTCAATTCCACCATCCACCTTTTCTGTTTGCCAGCTTATCCACTGCTTTTGTAAAAAAACCCACCCTGTGTGGTGCCAAGGAGTGGTTGACTAAAGCTGCCCAACTGAGAAGGTGAAGGGACTCTTTGTAGCTGATTTCGTGACCCCACTTCACAGAAACTATCACCTACCACAACCTCTGTCACATGGATTCAGGGATACGGGTAGATCATTCAGTTACATTTCACCACCTGTCACGGCTCTCTCTTTAATATACAGAGAGCCGTGACCCTTTTACATACCAGGTCTCCTCCCAGAGACACTACCAGATGTGGCAGCCCAGTCCTCTTGTCAACCACCCCTCACTCAGATACTTCACAGAGCTATTGGGGTTGTGACCCACACACTGCTTCAGTCTCACACTGCCACCATTTGGTCATATGGGCTCTTTTTGTAGCAGGAACTCCTTTGCATATTAGGTGACACACCCCTAATGTAGCCAATCCTCCAAGAGCTTACAGAGTTCTTCTTACAGGGGCTACTGTAAGCTCTTGGAGGATTGGCTACATTAGGGGTGTGTTGCCTAATATGCAAAGGAGTTCCTGCTTACAAAAAGAGCCCATATGTATATAGAGAGGCCAAAGCCTGACAGATTTGTGTGTTTCTTTCCCTGAGACAGTACACATTCAGTCAGCAGGGTTAACCAGAAAAGAGTTCTCTTTTTATTGAAGGCTTATTAAAACAACATTAGTGTGATTCAGATAAATAGATACGTCTCTTAACACTTGAACTTTTGATCCCTAACTCACTTCATGCTTCCAAGTCTATTTGTTACACATTGTCTTCCTTTCAGCCAGCTTCAGATTACTCTTTTCTCATTCACTAGCTCAAGCTGTCACCTCCCTTCTACATGGCTCTTGCTTGCTCTCCAACTGACTTAAGAACTCTTACTGCTAGCTCTTCTCCCAACACTCCATCAGCTCTCATTGGTTGTTCATAGAGAAAGGCAGAAGTAATTGGAGGGGGACCTAGTTGCCCTTGATGAGATCATTAAGAGTTATGGCAAGAACACAAACCCTAATGTACAAATCTTAGACTATACTTTCTCTGGCAGTTGTATACTAAATCCCTTTCCCTGGTTTGTTATTTTTAAGAAAAATAAAGTTATGAGAAAAGGCATTGTGGTTGCTATCCAAAAGCAGCCTTTTCAGCTGAGTTAATATTCTGTCAGGGTATTGTATCAGACCTTCGTCCCAATATGCTTCACAAGGAAATTGCATAGATTATTATGGATTATTATTAATTATTCATTGCATCATTATTAACCACACAAGTCTTCTTGTCACTTCAGAAGAAATACTGCTTGAGCTGGAAGGACTGAGGGAATCCATTGAAGAGAAAACTAGAGAAGCAGATGAGAACTTGGAGAAGTATTGTGCTCTGATCATTAATCACCATAAACTAGAAGAAGAAAATGAGATGCTGAGGACACAAATCTCTCTCCTGAACACTCAGCTCAAGCAGTCATCACCCAGCGCTGCTGTCAGTTGTCTTTGGCAAAGTCACGGAAGCCCAACAAAACCTAGTGGTAGGCTGCTTATAGAAATGGCAATGTTCGAAAATGTTGCTAAGGTACAAAGGTGTTTAGGAAACAGATGGCGCAGCAGAGAAATGAAGTCACATTTGAGCGAAACTCTTTCTAGAAACATTAAAAAGAGAGCCGCATTTATAACAGCCGAGTAATGTAGATCAGATTGAGAGGGGGGGGACTTACCCAAGATCACCCTGCAAGGATCCATGGCAGAGTGAGGATTTGAACCTGGGTCTCCCAGATTCTAGTCTGACGCTCTCATCACTGTGCTATACTGGCTCTCAGCTTTCCCTCCTGCTAGAATCCCCTCTCTGAGAAAAATCCGGCCAAGTTGCCAAAGTCCTGCAGTAGCAAGTTGCTCACGAGACCATCGTGAGGTAGCCACTGCCCATTGTGCAAGCTGTATGGAGGCTGCAGCTAAGCCCAGGCAAGTTGTGTGGCATCAGGTTATCTGATAGCCACTGTTATTATTTTGTGAGGGTTTAATCCCCACTGTTTTTGTTTGGTTTGTTTGTTTAAGTTTCAGGTTTTTCTGCAAACACAGGGTTTTTCTTGGCTTTATAGGAAAAATCTATATTGTCTGTTTCTGGCTCCATTGTGTAGATTTAAGTATCCACAGATGGGGCCCTGTTGAGAATTAGCTCTATTGATGATTAATGGCCTTCTGATTCAACTTTAGCAACCACAAAAACAACTGTTCTTATAAACTTTGACAGGAAGGCATTTTGTGAATGTCTGGGAAGAGGAGTTTGTAGGGAAGAGAGACCTCAGTCAGACACTACCCTGTTTTTAAAAGAACCATCTGCTGTGGCAGGTTTGCCTCCCCCCCCCCCTTCACAAAGGAAGGTTGGGCTTGGGAAGGAAGGTTTCAGGGAGGGTCTCTGCATGTGTGCTTGCACACAGATGTACATTTTGTGAACATCCTCTATGAATTAGCATTTTTAAGTGTTATGTAAATGCCTGCAAAAATGCATATCATTTTGAATGAAGTTCAAGGATGTTCTCCTATCACTAGAAATCATTTGTATCAATTTTGGGGAGCACTAGTTGATTCTCTTAGTGGTCTGGAAGGAATGACATATACAGTTCACATGGTGAGCATAAAACCATACACTTCCTCTAAGGCAACATATATTCATTCATATAGAAGTATAATGTTCAAACAGGGCCAAATCCTTATTGATTTTTCCCATTTTTTAATCTTGGAAACTGTATAGCGTTTGGTCCTGTTCGAACTTGCTCTCCCTGTATGGATTGTCGATGGAGTCAGAGGTGGGGCAGGCATACCAGGACAGTATGGAGACTGGTGCTCTCTCTTGCTTATTGTCTGATCTGGCTCAGTATAGCCAGTGAAACAGCATTTAGAGAAGCAATAATGAATAAGTACTTAATAAAATGTAGACCAGAATAACAGCACGTACAAGCCAGCACAAGGAAGTAACCATTTTTCAGATCTGTAGCTCCCATTTGGGAGAGATCGAGGAAAAGATTCTTTGGGGGAAGTCTCTCTGAATTAAAAGAGTTGGTGTATTGTACACCTTCACCTGTATTGCTAGAAACTGGTCCACATCCAAACAGGCTTGAAAATGCAGTTTGCTAAGCAAAATGCTTCATTGCTCACACAATCTGCAGATGTTGCTATGCCTACCTCAGAGTGATTAAAATTGATTATTTTCAGTGTTCTAAAAGTAGTGTGGCTGAACGATCAATGATTACCAAAAATTTTCTTCCTTAGGATTTGTCGATGTCACTCCAGGAAACAGCAGCCCTCACAATCCACACGGAACAGATTTAAGTCCAAGAACAAGTCCTTTTTTTCTCAGTCCAAAACTGGGATTGCAACCCTCTGTTGATACTATACAGATCCTGGAGATAGATTATTTTCCAGAGAATTCAAAAGCAACACCAGAGGGCAGCAAACTACAAAAGGTGACTGATCAACATCTGAAGTTACAAAAGCACACCATTTTGTTATGAGCATGGTGTCTTCCGGTTCTTCCTGATGGTAAACATAGTATGAACATAAAAACAAGTGCCTGTGTACCAGTAGCAAAGATCTTGGCATAATGGCAACTAGTAAGTTGTTTTGACGATGGAATTTTAGAGGTTCTCCCTGTCATGGGAGTCACAAAAGAGGAAACTTAAAATGGAACGGTAGCACCCTTCCAAATTATTATGGGGACATTCCTGGAGTTTTGTTTCTGCAAATTGCTGAATGGAGTATGTGGGCTGAACATTTAACTCAGAGTGATTAAAATTGATTATTTTCAGTGTTCTAAAAGTAGTGTGGCTGAACGATCAATGATTACCAAAAAAATTTCTTCCTTAGGATTTGTCGATGTTACTCCAGGAGACAGCAGCCCTCACAATTCACACATAACAGATTTAAGTACAAGAACAAGTCCTTATCTTCTCAGTCCAAAACTGGGATTGCAACCCTCTGTTGATACTATACAGATCCTGGAGATAGATTATTTTCCAGAGAATTCAAAAGCAACACCAGAGGGCAGCAAACTACAAAAGGTGACTGATCAACATCTGAAGTTACAAAAGCACACCATTTTGTTATGAGCATGGTGTCTTCCGGTTCTTCCTGATGGTAAACATAGTATGAACATAAAAACAAGTGCCTGTGTACCAGTAGCAAAGATCTTGGCATAATGGCAACTAGTAAGTTGTTTTGACGATGGAATTTTAGAGGTTCTCCCTGTCATGGGAGTCACAAAAGAGGAAACTTAAAATGGAACGGTAGCACCCTTCCAAATTATTATGGGGACATTCCTGGAGTTTTGTTTCTGCAAATTGCTGAATGGAGTATGTGGGCTGAACATTAAGAATTGTTCTTAGTGTACCATTTGTTGCATCCAACCGTTTAGAAATGTTGCGCAGAAATGTGTCAGCGGCACAAAACAGGTTGCCTGTTGGTCAAAGGGGAAAGAACTGAAACCAGTGTCCATGCTTCTTTTTTATGGAAAGTGCTTGGATTCAAATTCTTTGCCCATTCCAGATGTGACTGGTGCTGTCAGAGCACATGTTGCCACTACTAGTGTATGTGCATGTCTCTGGATTGGGGACATGATATTTAAGTAAGCAAACAATATGGTGAAGGACACAGTTGGCTCTCCTTTTGTTAAATTTTGAACTATGAATGTGGGGTCTGTGAGGAGCTACTTGCATAATTTATCACTGTTGTTGCCATACGTGTTTAAAGAAAACTCTAAAATTAATAAACAGTGAAAATGAGCATTGATATATATTGCCTCTGGCAATGCAATCCAAAGTCTCAGTAAGTCAGTTGAAGAAGCCTTGCTTGTATTTTATTTTCAATCCCACTTTTTCCCCTAATGGGGACCCAGGCAACTTTATCGCATTGTTCCCCTGCCCTCCACTGACCCTCACAATAACTCTTTTTAGGTTAGGTTAGGCGGAGAGATTGTGCTGGGTCCGAGGTCTCCTTGGGCGCTTCCATGGCAGAGTGGGGATTCAAACCCAGTTGTTCCAGGTCATAGACTGACTCTGATCCACCAAGCCATACAAGCTGTTCTTTCTAAAAAAAATTTCCTTTTGTGAGGGAACTTTATTTATTACCCGCACATTTCTTCCTAGTGGGCACCCAAGAGCAGCTTTTACGTCATTCTCCCCCCACCTCCATTTTTTCTTCTTCATAGCACCAACCCTGTGATGCGGGTTAGGCTGACGGAGAATGACTGTGCCAAGGTCACCCAGTGAACTTCTGTGAGGATTGGAATGTGGATCTCCCAGATCCCTATTTGACACTTTTCCATGGCAGAGTGGGGATTCAAACCCAGTCGTTCCAGGTCATAGACTGACTCTGATCCAACAAGCCATACAAGCTGTTCTTTCTAATTTTTTCCCCCTTTCGTGAGGGAACTTTATTTATTACCCGCACATTTCTTCCTAGTGGGCACCCAAGAGCAGCTTTTACGTCATTCTCCCCCCACCTCCATTTTTTCTTCTTCATAGCACCAACCCTGTGATGCGGGTTAGGCTGACGGAGAATGACTGTGCCAAGGTCACCCAGTGAACTTCTGTGAGGATTGGAATGTGGATCTCCCAGATCCCTATTTGACACTTTTTTTTTTTTTGGGTAAACAAAGTTTTATTATTTTTTCATCATAGGAATCCAACAATTCAATACTTTACATTTATCATTGCTTACCCTACTTCCCTTGACTCCTCCCCCTCCTGTGGCTTCCCGCAATGCTTTCACCCCTTCCTCCCCACTCTTGTATATTTCATCGGTTTCCAACATCATTGTTCTTATTGTCAATTTTAAGATAACATCATTTTGCTTAATATTGTTCTAAATACAGAGATCCCTATTTGACACTCTTAACCACTGTGCCATGCTGACTGTCCAGCACACCCAGACTGCTTGTGGTTAAGGAGACAAAGAGGGGCTTCATACAAAGAGGGGTTTCAGTGGGACAAACTAGCTTGAATCCAGCTGAGCTTCTTACAAACTTGAGTCTATGGTTGTTTGTTGCTTCACTCAGCAACTCTTGCAAACAGTCCCCTTTATGGCATGTGTTAACATCTTCTTAGGTAAAATAAATTTTGGTTTTCCTTTTGTGTGTTGCAGATCGACGATGTTCAGCTGCAAGAAATACGAGCTGCTGGGTTGCCCCTGGGCTTTACTCCCAGGTCTCCTCTTTCTGCCTGCAATCAATCTATCCAACCAGTTGCTGACAGGTCTGCTGGCAGTGCTGATAAAATCAAAATCAGACTTTCTGAGAATGCAGAAGAAAATGAGCTCAACGAAGGCTGTCATGTACAGTAGTTCTGGACCCAGAGGACTTCATGCATACCCAAAAGGCTGTTTCACATCTTATGCAGTGTGCTTATTACAGCAGGCACACCCAACAGGAAGCTTGGAATTAATCTGGGCTTCCTGAGGCATTGGTCTCTGTGGTGCTCTTGATAGTAAAAGAACAAATGTATTGCTCACAAAGCTAGTACGCAAGAAGTGCACATCTCTTTGGCTGTTCTTCTTAGGGTCCCTGCAGCAGATGATCTTTTCCCACACATCATAGGTTAGGGATCACTGCCCTAATATACTTTGCAGAGGGAAAGTGTATGAAGGCCTGTTGATACATTATGAAGAACACAGGTTGGGTCTGTACCCTACCCTGCTTTAGATGTAACTCGATCACATGTGAGTTGTGGGTTCTCCTCAGTTCCTGTGGTCACAGTGCCTGATTTTGATCAGGACCACCATGCACACGCAGAAGGGGTTTCTGCCTCTCCTACCCCCATGCTGTTTTCCCGGCCTCAAACAGTCCAGAGGGGCACTCTTAGGCCTGTTGGGGAAAACCTACAAATACATTAGAGAATACTTGGGTTTCCCCTCACAGCAGCCCCTTGGGACGGTTTCGGGGTGGGGAGGACGGGGAGTGAAACGCCTTCTCTGTATGACCACGGTGCTGATTCTGGTGAGGCACTGCATGTGCAGGAGTAGAGGGGAACCCACAACTCATATGTGTGACTCAAGGTAGGGATGCGTCATAGTATTTTAATGCATAAGCAGGCATGTAGGTTCCCTTCGTCAGAACTGGGGGAGAAATTGTTCAACTGGTCCAAGATTATTTGGGAGAAAGGAGCTTGATCTGTTTTAATTAACTGAAAGCTCCTCAAAAGCAGCCCTGCCTTGTCTAGTATTTTCTGACAGCTTTGGTCAGGAGAAGAGGGTATTTGCATTTTTCCCATGATGCATACTTGGATGCTGACCAATAGAATTCTGAAGTATTGTCATCTTTTCTTCTGCAATCTGGATGGATGTACTGGTTTGTCTCTGCAACCTCCAAGCATGGAACAAGTTAAGCAGGTCTGGTGTCTGTTCCTTTCCTCTAGATCAGTGCTACATATAAGTCAAATAATATGGTATCTTCCCTTCCTGGTCTACTGTTAGGGTCTACTAACATTTTCTGTAAATAAGCAATACACACTAAAGTTATTACCTAAGAATCCTATAGAGGAAATTGTTATCGTGGGGAGGGGGTGACGGTAGAATTATTGTGTATAATAAGTCTGTATTGGCATAATTTCAGACAAGAATAGGAACATTTTCAAACTAGGGAAACATCATCTCAAAGGTACTCAAGCTGTTGTCAAGGTCACCAAGCACCTCAGGGATGCAAGCACTTTAGGGAACAAAAATAACTTGCTACCTTCCAATCGTGCTGTGCATTTTTAAAAAACTATCTTTTCCCAAGTCAGTGCTACATTTAATAAGAGGCTATAACAAGCAGGACATGGCTCTTGCATTTTTAAAAATCAGTTCTGGGAGCCCTTGAAGAGGAAAAATATGAGGATCCATAGAATTGAAAATAATTTCACACTCCCTGGAGGAAACCAAGGCTGTTTAAAACACATGCACACATGTTCCCAGTCATACATGGCAAACCACTTTTGGAATGCAAAGGTCTAAAAGCAATTTAAGTAACAAACTGGTGAGAATATTTGAGTTGGATAAAATGTCACAAAGGTTGGATTCTGTCTAAATTTCATGTACACAAGTGCAGCTTCCCTGCCTTCATTCTTCTGAAGCAGCCCCAAATGACCCCTGAAATAGTGTTCTTAGGGAACAGGGGGAAACACCCCCCAGGGAACAACAGGAGGGGGAATCGCCCCACCTCTTGAACATGCAGATCTTATGCACAGGATTCAACCCAAATTACTTTAAATCTGTTCTGCTTCACATAAGAAGAGATGCCCATTGTGAATAACATTTTTATGAAACTAAACCCAAAAAAGGGTATATATTATCTAAGATATTGTGTACATAATCCTGTTCCTGAGTCATTGAGCTTTTTGTATTCTGCTACAATAAACACTGACTTAAATCTGTAAACCTTGAATTTCTTTTACCAAGCCATAATCACACCCTTATCTATGATGTCCATTGATACATTTCTTTCTAAACTTGTAGTGAATTCTGAGTCTGTGTATTCAATAGAAGAATTTGCCTTAAAATAAGGTAATAACATGCACAATGCAACTGTAGTAGCTATGGTTCCTCAGTACCATTGTAACTAAGGAAGGATGTTCAGTTTATTCTTCAAGGCTTTAAAGAATATGTGTATTTGTCTAATAAAAATTGGTACTATTAATGGCAGCTAGACATTATGACCTTTCTAACAAGTCATTTCAGTGAGGCCACATTGGAAAAATGCATGAAGAGCCTTTCACTTCAGTCCAGCCATGGGGCATAAGCACTCTTCCATCACATGGCTGATTTCGGATATGCATCCACTTTATAGTGCTGATCAGCGCTTCATTGAATCGGCTGGCTGTGCCGTATCCAGGCATACTTGGATGTTGGGTGGGTCTAGTTCAGCAAGTGGAGGCTCTCATATCCCGACAAGTTAAGCACTCATGTCTTAGGAGATACTCTTCGAAACATCAGTTTCCAGATCTCAGTGGCTCAGTTTTGCCAAATGTTATATTATGGTTTATTTTAGATATGGTTAGGTTGTGAAATAAGGATTTGTACTGTGTGTGAGCGATCAAATCTTGGATTTTCTCACCCAATCCTATTTTTATCATCTTTACTTTTTCTTCCAATTCTCCTACAGAGACCTTAGTGTTGTGATCTGCACTGGCGCAAGGGTGTCAGCAGGGAACAAATCAAGATATCTACATTATACATCACATAAAAGTATAGTTAAGACCAACTCTGGTGAATAACTAATGGTAAACCATGGTTTCAAATCTGGGTTTGACATCAAACATAATTGCGTGAACCTGTATTTGGACCATCATGCTATCCCGAGGGTTTTATCCAGGTTAAGCTGACAGTCTCCACTGCAGACACACACACCCCAATGTCATTTTTCAGGGCCTCCTGTCTTCTAAGTGAAGTATTTTACAGAGATCAGTGGGAGGAGGCAGGCAAGAAATTCCTGGTTCACTCATGGAAAATTTAGTCTTGAACCACCCCATAGTGAAATTAAACAATGGTACCACGTGACATCTGAGCCAAACCTCTGTGTACAAGAATAGAGCAATAGAAAACATGCTTGTCATCTGCAACTGGATGTCTGTTTCACTTCATTTTATGCTTTATGGCAAAGGGTATTCCAGGATCGATGCTTTGTTTTTAAAACCTCAGTGCTTTATTATTAGATTAATCAAATGTTTGAGTTTATAATATATCCTGTGGCACAAGATATGATGATGACATCTTGAACAACCCAGTGAATATGATTTCAGGCTCCCCAAACGTCAGTTTAAAAATATTTTTAATTGACTCCAAGTGATTGATTCCATAACACTATAAAGTTCAAATAATGCCAGCCATTGTTTCACTTGAGGAAACGTGCAGAATTCTGACAGACTATAGCAGCAGTTTGCTTTTTCAGAGGAAAGATCCTTCACAAGTGTTGGAGAGATGGCATGCTTTGGGGGATGACTAAAGGATTCTTTCACCTTCATTCTGTACCTGATGTGTTCGATTCTAGTCCTTACTCAAAACTATCAAGTTCTCTCTTAGGGCAGCCAGGAAAATGGTGTGGTTACTGCTATACTGATTTGGAGGTCTAATTGCATAAAATTCTTCAACTATTACATTATCTATGAATGCGACAGAAGAGAATGGTGAGAGGGCTGTCATTTGCTACCTCAAATTCTTTAGCTTGAAGACTGAGATCAAAATGAAAGTTTGGTAGGTATTCAAGAATGTTTGTCTAGAAATGAGGAGTTTTGCAGTCCTAGTGGTTCAAAACGTATGCTTGGGATCTTTACCCAGGAGCCTTCCCCAGCCCAGCTTAAAAGTATCCTAAAGAACAAAAAGTCTCATTAAGAACCATCACTATGATTTGGTGTCGTGGTTAGGAGTGCGGACTCTGATCTGGGAGAACCGGGTTTGATTCCCCACACTGTCACATGCAGCTGCTGGTGTGACTTTGGGTCAGTTACAAGTTCTTTTGGAGCTGTTCTCTCACGAGCAGTTCTCGAAAGAGCTCTCTCAGCCCCATCTACCTCACAGGGTGTCTGTTGTGGGGAAGGGAAAGGAGATTGTAAGCCGCTCTGAGACTCCTTCAGGTAGTGAAGAACAGAGTATAAATCCAATATCTTCTAATTGTGTGGCCAATAAGAGAGATTTTTAGTCTAAGGCCATTATTTTTTACAAGTCACTGCAAGGATTACCCAAAAGAGCAGACCTGTTCAGAGCAAAACACTGATCTGCAGTTGATGCCCAGCTGGCGGCAATGGGGGGGAGGGGTAACAGGTGAGCCAACACCCATTATTGGCAATGCTAGGCAGATCAAAGCTGAGTGGCTTCCAGAGCAGAGCTTTCCTCACCACAGGAGGCATTCAGCCTAGCTTCCTCCTGGGCCTTTTAAAATTTCAAGTCTACTCTCAGCTAAGAGCCTGGAAGTATACTTTAAAACAGGAGTCTTACAGGTTGTGGCCCATGCTATGGGCAGAGGTTTTAAATGAGCTGCCTTGTATGAAATATTTAATTGCCATTCTCCAAGAGGAGTAGCATACTCTCCTTGTAAGATGCTAAAAACAGTGGTCTGTTTTTATGATCTGTTTGATTGCTGGGCTGGGTTTTTAATGATGGATTAATATTTTACTGTTTTAATCTTGTAAGCCATTTCTGGCACTTCCTGGAGAGGTGGAATAAAATGTTTCTGAATAGATAAATATACTAATATAAAATACAAAAATCTTGATGGGTGGGAGAAGCCCCAGTAAGGTTACATAGAGCAACAATGACATCTGGTGGTACTGTCTGACCTTGAAAACATGCAAGTTGGACTAGAAAACTGCAAAGCATGCAACTTGGGTTTCATTGGAACTGTGCCCTTTTCAGTTTCTTTTTTGTTTTCCTATGTTGTGCGCGTTTTCTTTCATCGGTTTTTCACTGCTAAGATTTCCACTTCCATTCTTTCACACCATTCTTGCACCAAGTCCTGCTGTTTATACAGTATATGTTGTTTTAGCACCATTTGCATGCCACTGAAGCAAGGTTTTATGAAACCTTCTGGTTACCGTCTACACCTCATCCCATAAACTGTTTGTGCTTCACTTCCTAGAATTTCTGGGCAAAACTGTTGTTAAAGACATGCAAACTGTCTGTCCTAGTGGTGCAGTCTGACTTTAAGGGTGAACAATTTGAAACTGAACCCTAACAAAACAGAGGTAGTGATGACTGGGAAGCCCGAGGACATTTTACTTCCCACTTTTGATTGGGTCCAGCTGATCCTTGCTGATTCAGATACAAGTCTAGGTGTTACACTGGAACTAGCATTATTGCTGGAGAAGTAAGTTAATGCAGCTGCACAAAATGCTTTCTTCCATCTTCATTTAGCCCAGACTCAACCAATGTGGCCACTTGGATCCATGGTTGTTCCGTACTTCAGAAACTTCAATCTAATTCCAGTAC